TTAAGAGTTTGCAGATTGGCTTAACCAATTGAGGAAAACACAATATTGTGTGAATTATGGAACCCTTCAAGTGTATCATTTAGATCAACTTTAAATTCTACAACTGGCGTGCAACTAGTGCTCGTTCTAAGGCATCGAGAACAAGCCGGAGATCGAGCCTGGCCTGTGATTTTTCATTTGACTGTTTGTTTGTTAAGCACAAAGCTATACAAAAAAGCTATCAGTGCTGTACCTACCACGGGTATCGAAGCATTAAAAGCCTTCAGACTTACCGTTGAGCAACTGGGAGGCTGGTTTGTGGGGGGGGGGGGGAGAAAGGGGAAAACGGGTAGCTTGAGTCACGAAATAAGAATGGGTTTATTAGCGCAAAGCTAACTGAGAAAAGTCATTTAACGAACAGTACCCACCGCCAACTGTTGGACTACTCTAATTGAATACTGGGATATGACCGTCACTCTTGTAACGCGCCTTCGGCCGCAAAAAAAAAAATTATATTGTTTCTAAGAGGTTCGCCTATATATCTTTTTTTTTCTTTACATGATAGTATGTCAAAGATATTGGGTATGATCCGGCACATGCTAAAATTGGATTCCAAAATTCCAACACCATTTGCTCCTTGGTGGTTCAGCAGTAAGTTAGAGGGCGTTTCACGCTGAACATCGGGTTTAGATACTTTCGGTGAGAACAACATAGATAGCTCATTGTGTATCTTTGTGCTTATAAAAAAACAACAAAAAAACACCGTTTTCTATCCATCCGTTGTTAAGTAAATTTCTTATTAGAAATATTTCTCACAAATTTTGACATTGCTGTCAACCAATTCACCCACTCTTGTATGTATATCAAGGTATGTATTATTTTCATACTAATTATATTTGGGGAAAAGAAGAAACTTTACTCTTTTGAAGCTTTTTAAAGTACCGTCTGGTTAGGGTCACTCGACTGGTACTCTGCGTGTCGCAAGTTCGAATCCCGTCGCCGAACATGTTTACTCTTCCAGCCGTGGGGGCGATATAATGTGATTGTGAATCCCACTATTCGTTGGTAAAAGAGTAGCATAAGAGCTGGCGGTGGGTGGTGTTGACTAGCTGCCTTCCCTCTAGTCTATCACACTAAAACGAGGGACGGCTAGCGCAGATATTCCTGGAGCAGATTTGCGCGAAATTCCAAAACAAACAAATAAATATTCTTAAATTACCACTTCAGTGAATAAAGTGAGATTATTTCTCTGTATATTTTGAGGGGTGTTGCTTAATTTTTTCACAACATTTTAGTAAACCCTTTTAATCCCTCAAGTCATTACTTTAAACATTCCAAAGAAGCGGTCACCATTTATTGGGGAGGGGAATTTTCCAAAATTACCTGTATAGAAAAGCTACCCCCTAAATTTCAGCGCACGGATAAATGAAACCCTCTAAAAGTAATGGTTCTTAACAATTACAAACTGAAGCGAATTTATAACAGTTATTCTATCTTAACCCCCCCCCCCCCCCAGCGGTAAGTTTACGTACTTACAACGCTAAAATCCGGGGTTCAATTCTCAGATGGCCCAATGTGGCTTTTCTCTAAAACAAACAAACTGTGTAAATTACTGTTTGTGATACTAATAATATTATGCTTTTTTTTTATTCTTGAAGTAATGATTTACGTGAATCACCACCAGCGTGACGTTGAACTGTAATGAATACATTTTCCAGACTCATCATTGATAGTCCTGTTTTCACATTATAACTATAATTATGATCATTGAATGATCATTTTAGGACACGATCCACAGGAGACCCGATTGTGGGGGCGTGTTAGATAAGATAACTCTCAAGCCCGATCCCCATAACTTTGATAAATACGAACATTGTTCGCGGTCTCAACTGTGGACTCCCCGGTGGTTCAACGGTTTATCAATGAGCTTATGACGCTAAATATTGGGTTTCTATACCCGTGGTTGGCAGAGCACAGATATGTAGCTTTGCGCTTAACAACCTGTGAAGTAAAGCATCTCTCAGACGGACTTCAGATGGTGTGTTTGATGAGGTGTTCTTGGGAAACATCTGTGAAACTTGGGTGAAACAAATTCAGTGATATATTAAGATGTGCACAGGTATGTGATTTGTGGGTTTTCTAGTTAAATACCAAAAACATTTTCTTTGAAACCAGATCATCATTTTGTTTGTCATTCCTTTGTATTGATACTTTTCATAAATAGCAGATATGTATGAGCAAGACTATGGATCGTAAGTACTAACATTATTGTATTGTTTGATCTAACGATGATACAAAATAAACTGTTAAAATATGATTTTACTTTATTTGGGGTCACTTGAAATATTTATTACATAACCACCAGACATTTTAAGATATCTATTTACTTCCTTTGCGAGTTAAACTAAAGAGTTGAGTGTGACAGAAAATCCCGTCTTCATGTTCGGGAGTTCATAATACAGAGCAATGTTGTATGAATCAGTGTGTATTCCGAGTCACTTATTATTTAGGTCCTGTGATGATATTCGAACATTTTTTTTTTCTTTCACTGTACATAGAAAAGTAACCTATTTCTGATTTACGTGAACAGCTTTCTTAACCCCTCAAATTACTAGACAAACCCTCCTATTGATGAATAGTGACCGCTCCTTTACATGGGAATGATCTCTCGATGTCCACCTTACCCTTTTTTTTTGTACGTAGCCCAAGATCTTCAATGTCTTTTGTTAAATGTTAAGACATCATTTAATCTAAAATTATCACCATAGACGTAATTGTATTTAAATACATTATTTTAAACCCTTTATGCACCAAATTAGTTGTAGACCCATGACTTTGTTGGTTCCAAGATCCCTAATATCACACGAGACACGTCATAAATATTTAAAGAAAAACATCGCAATTAATGCCATTAATTGCCACTAGGGATTCGTCAAGTAATGTGTGTCGCTTTTTTAGGTGAAAAACCCGAAAAACTTATATATCAAATCAAAACAT